AACGTTTCCTGTATGTTGATTTATGAATACCTAATAAAAAAGCAATTCCCCTTTACAAATTTTAATGAAATTTTTTTTACAGTAAAATAGGTCTAGAATTCAAAATAATTAATTTTTGTGTTGAGTAATAATTTTAAATAAATTATTTTTCCCTTAAAAGTTATGCTTATTGAACTGAATATATAAACTTTGTATATAAAGTCAGTAGCATAATTTTTGAAGTATAAATTGAAATATTTTTTCAGATAAACTATAAATTTTATAAAAGATATTAAAGTTTAATATTGATAAAATTTTCAAATCAATCCAAAAATTCTATTATATACTTCAGTATACCTTAAGTTAACAAACATGAACGATATTTACATGTAATGTAAATAATTTTTATAAACTGATTTCAAAAGTATTAACGCAGGAAAGGCAATTAGTTCTTTATAAACGGGCATTATGAACGGATGTAATAAATGAACTTATAGAACTTAAGATATATAAACCGCGTTTATTTTAAAAGTGGCATAAATCACTTTAAAAATATCAAGTCATTGATATCATGAATCCTAATTTAGCGGTATTTTTTTATTTGAAAAAAAAATTATAGTGTCAATTTGTTAGGAACTATTGAGGTTTTGTTCGATAAAAGTTGTTCTAGTTAATTAATCAATGTTTTTAAACATATTGAAACGTAAGCCCTTGAATATGTCGATTAAGAAAGTGAAAATCTTCAAAATAAACAGCTCAAACAATTGTAATGAAACAAATTTTTCAAGAGCTTCTTTTTTTACTCGCCAAATATGGTGATTTTTTTGTTATAGTCACACTCTTCTCCCAATGTAACCCAGGGTGATTGCGATTTGGTCACAGTACCCTTCCCAGCACTGCCAACCTAAGGTGGAACGGAGAATAAAGCATCACGAGAGACGTTGGGAAAGAACTTCGTAATTTTGAACCTATGGTCAAGTGATGAGGACGACACCTGAGAAGTCAAATCCTCTTCAAACTACCTCATCAACGGAAGGACTTACAGCCTCGACAGATTTAACGTGCTTCAGCCTCTCTACACAGCTGATCTTTAGCAGCTCTAGGATTCGAACTCGTTACCGTAACCACTAGGCTCCGCTGCCAAATAATAATGGCAAACCCGGTGGTCGAGAAACGTGACCAAGTTGAAAAGTAATTACATTATCCGACTATGTTCGGAACCGCGATTTTAAAAAAGCGCATAAATGATAATTTTCATGATATTTAGTGTCACTCAAATTAGAATAGATGCAAAAAATTATTTTAAGGACATTTTGACAAAAAAAGTTTATTTAAATACAATATTTTGGCAAAAAAATTAACTTAGAATAATCTTTATTTCCAAATGTTCTCCTTTTGTGAAAAATGGTTTTATTATAATAATATTTTGCCTGTATATAGCTTAAACATCTCTACAGAGGCTCAACTAGAATTTTTGAAAAATTCAAATTATTTTCAGAGTTACCACCAATTGAAATAATTATTGCCGTTTTTTTCTTAAAAATGCTCCCCTCTGTTGTCTTAAAATATGAATAAACCCACTTCTAAGATATATATTTCAAAAATTCTAGTTGAGCCTCTGTAGAGAGATCTGAGCTATATACAGGCAAAATATTATTCTACACTGGTGTGCAAAACTTAAGCAACAATGTAAAAATTAAGCATATAACCATGAAATTGCAGAAAAGGAGGTCTGAAGATCAGTACAGTGAACACGTAAGTCAGTAGAAACGTCATGTGTATGCAAATATCAGGAACGAAACGTCAGAAGCGACGTGAGCGTACGCAAAACGCGTGATGTCGGCGCGTGCTGTTCAACAGTAAAATAAAATGAAGGACGCAGACGCAATTCAACATATTCGCTGCAAGTGCCAGTGATTCAGTTCGTGAAATATGGCTAGAAGAAATCACCTGGATGACTTCACGTGGATGAATGATCGGAAAGCTGGAGGAGGGGCGTACCGTCACCAGTGTAGCTGCAGAGTTCGGAATCAACAAAAGTGTCGTTTGTTTCGCGCGCTTGGAAAGCGTTCCAAACCACAGATACAGCTGTTAGAAAGGTTAGTGGTGGCCGCCCGAGGACGACAACTGCAGGGGATGACCGACATATCATCCTGCTGACGAAAAGAGGCCGACGGCAGTCAGCAAGCGTCATTGCTCAGCAACTCTCTACAGCAACGGGGCGACAAGTGTCGCGGTTTACTGTGGCCAGACGCCTTCACAAAAGGGGCCTATTCGCCTGCCGTCGTGAACGCTGCCTCCAGTTGAAAGTTGACCACCGACGCAACCGTTTACAGTGGTGCAGAGAGGACAAAAACGACAAGTGTCAATGGAGTCGTATCCTCTTTACGGATGAGAGTCGGTTCAGTACCGGAAGCGATTCTCAACGCGTTTAGATTTGGAGAGAGATCGGGACACGGTTTTATACCAGTAACATCAAGGAAAGACACCATTACGGTGGTCCTGGAGTTCTTGTCTGGGGAGGCATTATGCTGAACGGGCGAACCGAGCTCCACATTTTCGATAGAGGGTCTGTAATCGGGGATCGCTATTGAGAGGAGGTACTTCTTCCCCATGTGCGTCTGTTCCGAGGTGCCATTGTCCCAGACTTCATTTTTATGGATGACAATGCACGGCCACATCGGACTCTTGCTGTTGAGGAGCTGCAGGAAAGTGAAGATATCACTCGAATGGATTGGCCAGCGTACTCCCCAGATTTAAATCCCATCGAACATGTGTGGGATGCTTTGGGAAGATGTATTGCAGCACGCTTACATCATCCGAAGAACACCCAACAACTCAAACAGATGCTGATTGAAGTATGGGCACTCCGATCGCAAGAAATGTTGCACCAGCTGGTTCTGAGTATGCGGAGACGGTGCGAAGCAACCATTGCAGTGAGGGGAGGGCATATACCATATTAAGGAACATCTGCTTGTTGTTCTTCCTGTTGGATAGACCATCATGAGTCACGATACTATGCGTTCAATAAAGCTTGTTTTTGTTTGATTCCATACCGTATGCATTGTATTCCTTTTTCAGCGCCGATGCTTTCGTCATCCTTTACGTACATAATACTCTCCCTCATTTCTGAATTTAATGTCTCTCAGATGATTTTTTGTGAAGTTATGGCAATAAACCCACCTGTTGCTTAAGTTTTGTTCACCAGTGTAATAAAAGCATTTTTCACAAAAGGAAAACATTTTGAAAAAAGATTATTCAAGTTAGTTTTTTGTCAAAATATTGCATTTAAATAAATTTTTCTTGTCAAAATGTCCTTAAAACAATTTTATGCATATATTCTAATCTAAATGACACTAAATATCATGAAAATTATCCATTTATGTGCTTTTGAAAATCACGGTTCCGAACGTAGTCGGATACCTTAATGTATTTAAACCTGCGATAGATGGTTAGATAACATCTTTTTAATTCAAATTCTATATTTTACATTTTAATCAACTTTTGATATTTAAATTGTTTAAATAGTTTTATCCACTCTCTTGAGTATTTCTTTCTACTGGAATCTATTTTTAAACTGCTTCAATTTGGTACATTTTTTGTATACTCAAACTGAATTGGATAAAAAATACACAGCTAAATTTTTTATTTGAAACTGTTGAGATCCTTTTACTTATAACCAAATAGAAAATCGATTTTTTTAAAAAAAATATGCATATGAATCAAAATTTTAATTAATCCACAAGCAATACCTTGATTAAAAATCGTATAAATCAAACTTTTTTTCATTTCAAATAATTCTTTGAAGTTGAAAAAAAATAAATACATTTCAACGAATCAAAATCTCTAATAATAACTTACATAATAACTTATTCCGATTATTCTTTTCTAAATAAAGAGCACGCACAAAGCGCTCCAACAAATATCTCAATTAACTCCACATTATCCTGCTTTAAAGCGCGCCAATTTTGAAACATACGTTCCCCAAAAGCCCCATAAAATGTCAAGAGCTTTTCCTGAAAGCGTTTAACTCGCCATAAAATGAAACTCGAGCACTTTAAAAAAAAAAAAGTAGGAGCCAATAATGAAAAACGGAAAAAAGTAATACACCTCCAATTTGATTTTTTTCCCTTTGTCTCTTTTCCCCTACTCCTTCAGGAGCCGGAGGGAATTTTGAGAAAGATTTACTTTGAAATCAATTTTAACGGACTGTTGAAACGGCTCGTTTAACTTTCTTTATGCTTCTCGACCACAAAACGGGGGAGTAAAATTCCCATCCCAGAGGCTCCCGGGGATCAATAAGGATTTCAAAAAGGATTTTCACTACAACATTTACTTTTTATTTTTATTTTATACTTTAGATTTCTTTCTTTCTCTCTTTCGCGTTCGCGAAGCCTGTTGAATAGGCTTTAGAAGAGAAAGGAAAATAAAATGAAGGTGTTCATTTGTATAAATCTGGTGTTAAGAGTTTTCTTTTTAGTTTACTTAAAAAGGGACTTGACAGAAGTGATATACATGTCTTCTTTTATGTTTTTCTCGTGATTTATTTTAAACATTTTTCAAGGCTTAGAAAATGAATTTAGAAAAGATAACATACACAGTTATTTAAATATAACTTTTGCTATTCATTTGATATTTGGTATGGATGGATATTAATAATTTTTATATCAAGTGGCGAGAGTGTAAAAGATATAAATATATTTTTCAATACAATCGAATTCTTAATGCTAGATATCAATAATTCATGTATATGTAAACAGTATACATCTGTACAACATTGTGAAATACCCAGTGAAGAGGGTGGGTATCGGCTAGTATATATATATATATAATGTTCAAATGTTCAATCGTTAATAAAATACTTTCAATTCATCTATTAATATTCGAATGCATTTTTTTAAACTTGTAGTGGAGGAAACTTGATGTTAACACAGCTTTTTCAAGTATTAATTTATTAGTTAAATTTAATTAATGAATAAATAGTAACAATAAAACATAATAGTCCAACACCAAATACGAAGAGCTTGTAGCGTAATGGGTAGCGCGTTGGACTTCTAATCCAAAGGTCGTGGGTTCAAATCCTGCCTGGGCTGGCCTAATTTCTGAGAGTATGATTTATGAATGAATAAATAGTAACAAAAAAGAAAAATGATATAGTCCATATATAGAAAGGGAAATCACTTTCTATTTTAACGTATAATATTGTGATTCTGTCATATGTATATACATATTTGTATTAATTGTAATTTCTTAGTAAAAAGTAATTACAAAAAAAGATCATCTTTGTTGACCTAATTAGAGAAATTGACTTTAGTTTTTTTTTATATTATTTGTTAAGAAGCATTTTATGGTGAAAGGAAAATGAAGAAAGGTGATAATTTTCTCTTTCGGTGTCTTAGGAAAAACATAAAACACATGAAAGTGTGCGTGCGTATGTGTGTGTGTCAACTCCGTTATATATAAAGGCGTGGACTTAAATCTGTAATGCAAGATTTCCCATTCGAATAACCTGGGATTTTCTTCAATGTTGTAAGTCTTAGCTCCCATATTCTTACAGAAGAAACATTCCACATAAATGAGATTAAGTATAAAAGCGAACTGAAGTAAAGAATTGAATACTAAGGAATAGTGAAAAGGCCGTGACAGTTAGCCAATCATTTAGAGCTTACTTCAACGAAATTTCAGTGTTTCTTTAACAGAAGCGCTCTAGTGGTTTATTAAGTTAGATTTAGAGTATGCATTCGTGGAAGTACGTTGATCCAGTTAGCTTACAGTCTTGATAGTTTCTGAAAGATAAGTACTTTTTCGTGTTTATTATAGTTTAAACATTTAAGTCTACCTTCCATAAATAAGTTATTTATTTAATCAATGAGATTAAAATAAACTGATTATTGTGTTTATAGTTAGGACTACGACACTTACAACCACTCGAGTTCAATTAGAGATTTTTCAGGAGTAGTGTGTTTTCTAGGTTACCAACACATATTTTGCAGTTACCGTTACAAAGTTACGAATCTCTGCATCATTTTCCTCTAGAATGGAGTTATTATAGCAACAAATAGTACTACAATTTTCCCTTTCTGAAAACATGTAATAACTATGGAATCAAGTTGTACGAGTGTTTAGGGAAATAATCTGAATTATTTTATTTGAAAATTAATAAACGGATGGCTTAGATAATATTACCTTTTCTTATCACCACATTGATGATGTTGTATTGTGTTTGTTTAATATTATCAGCAAAATTATTACATAAAGATCTTAGTTTTAATTCATCCATTTGAGATTTTTGAAAAATTTACAACAATTGAAATTAAATATTTTATTAAAATTTGAAGTTGCTTTAATTCATTTACTGTATATTTCGGCGTATAACGCACACCTATACTTTCAAACTGCATTTTAAAATTTTCTTACGTTCATTCGCCATATAATGTGAACCCCGTTTTTTTTAAGAAGAAACCTAAAATACAATGCTCTTATGTTTTGAAGGCATTCATCCGAAGTATTATCCCATGTTTCTGAAAAACTAGTATACTTGTAGAACTATAAGCCCTAAAGTTCTCATAAGACATGTCATTTCTTTAAATAAACAGTATTTCGATATATATTAAAGTCTAATTTTTCTCTTGTGCTCTCTCTCTCTCATCCTTTTTTTTAAAGTTAGCATTTTCACACACGGCATATAACGTGAACCCGTAAATTTCGATCCAATTTTTTGTGTTGAAAACTCGTTATACACCGGATAATGTGGCCGCGGTAACCTAGTGGTCAAGGTATCGGATCGTGGCTGGCGTGTCACAAGTTCGAGCGCAGTATCACTAAAGACCCGCCGTAAAGGGGAGAGATGCACGCTAAATATGTCAAGAGCTCAAATGTCCTCCTGTAGTTGCGGTGTAGTAGTTAAAAGAAGGGTGCTAGCTCGGGTGTCTTCCTCGTCATTTGACCATGGTACGAGATCCATCGCCAAAAGCCCTCGTGTAGCTGAACAGAGTGACGTTAATATTCACTCACTCACTTACACCGGATTATACAGTATATGTTAGTAAATTAACAGAAAACAAAAAAAAAAATTTAACTTGCCCCCCCCCCCTTTCTTATTGGCGGTTATATACTGAAATTGAAGTACCAGAAGAAGACTCGACATTATATAACAATAAATTTAAAGCAATTTGTAGAAGCTTAAGGGATTATAATACAAAATTGAAAAATTTATCAAAAGAAAATCTTTCAATAGGGGATCCACTGCACGAATGGTAATCGAATAGCAACTTTCATTTTTTACATTTTTATTAACAAGTATCTGCCTTCAAAATTTATTTTTTAAAAATATTTAATATAGACACAAATCAATATATTTTTAACTCTCTGAAAGTGTAGATTTAATCCAAAAATCTGCAACTGAACATTTTCACAAAGAGTTGAGTTCTCAACTGGCATTCCCTCATTCCATAGACTTTCCTCTCTACCTCCCCTCCTTCGCAGTATATCTGGCAAAGCAGTAGCTTCTCTTTTCGCCTGTCTGTCCTTCCTCCCCTTTTCGTGCAGGGGACAGAAGTGGTTGACATCTCCTCAGATGCGATGTCATCTGACATCAACGTCACGAATTTGCACCCCACCTCCATCGTTTGGTACGACGTCATCGGCAATACGTCCATCCTCTTCCTTCTTCTTCACCTTCCAATACCCTTCGGTTTTCTTTTTTCTTCTTCATTCCATTTCTTCCCAACCCCCCTCCCCATCCTTCCGCTTTTCGATTTCTTATTTACATGGTTTACATGGTCGCAGTGTCATCTTGGCCATTGAAACACTAAGAAAAGTGCTCTTACCCAAAATTGCATTATTTATGGCATGGAGAGATTATTTGTAAGCTATGCTCACGTTATTCGTAGTTACATAAGCTGTTACGTTTTTCTGAATCCCAGATTTTCTGGAAAGAATATAAATTGATTCAATTGGCTGTATGAGTATTCATTTGATGAAGTGTCTGAAAATCTGTGAATGAAAATTTAAAATTCGCTATGTGATTTGTCAAAAGTTAAGCCCTATTGATGTGAAAGATAGAAATGAAGTATTATTACATGGAAATTTAATTGCAGTTTATGTGTGAGAGTGTCAGCTAACTACGTGGCCGTGGTAGCCGAATGGTCAAGGTATCGGATCGTGGCTGGCCTTGTCATGATTTCGAGCCCAGTACCACTAAAGACCCGCCGTGTAGGGCAGCGATGCACGTTAAATCTGTCGAGAGCTCAAACGTCCTCCCGTTGGTATGGTGTGGTAGTTAGGAGAGGGGTGTGCCAGCTCAGGTGTTGTCCGCGTCAGTTGCCATGGCTCAAAATTACGTGGTCCGTCGCCAAAAGCCCTCGTACAGCTGAACAGTGTGCAGCGTTAATATTCACTCACTCACTCAGCAAGCTGCGCATACTGATATCAACTTATCATCCAATATTTTTCCTGAAGAAAAAATGATTCGTTTAAGTCATTTAAGCATACTTAAAAACAGGTCTATCTTATTTTAAATAAAAAGGAAATAAAATTCTTACCGTTTTATATTATTTCGTCTGTATTGATAAGTTGATTGAAATTTTATATTCTCATTCTAAATCTACTCAATGGATTTTGGCAAAGGATCTCGTGAAGCAACATTGGGATTATTGGCGACAGACTTCGTAACTTTTAACCTTGGTCAAATAACGGGGGCAACACCTGAGATGGTACTACCTCTACTTGCTTTCACACCACACCAACGTAAATCTATTGAGCCTCGGCATATTTAACGTACATAAGCCGTTCACACTATCTTCAGTTGCACCAGGATTCGAGAACGAGTTTGAGACCATGGAATTCTAAAGCTGCATGAGACCTTTTAAAAATACACTTTATAATAGTGATCCATTTTCAAGCAATAGGTTGATTTGGTTTTAATTTACACTACCCCTTGAAGAAACACAGGCGCTATTGACGACGGGCTTTGTAACCTCGAGATGAGGTCAAATGAAGCGAAGGAGACCTAAGCTGGTCCATTATCCAAACATCCACACCATGCCAACTGAGGGATTTTAATCATCAACAGATTTAACGCGCATCAGACAAGCAATGAGAACACCTGAGTTAGGTCTTCTTTCTTCTAACTTCAAACCATATTTTACAAGGACTACGACTTCGTTTAATTTTCACATGTAGCAACCCCTTTACTATTTCAAATAATGTATGATCTTCGTTAAAACCTAGACCACAGAACCCACACAATACAATGCTTCAAATCTTTATTTGTCAAACGAAGATATCTTCAAGGTATAATAGCAATATACTACAATCCATACCTCATGTCTATCGAGCTCAACATAAAGCTGACGACTTTGATCACTAATACAGAGTATGTTTGTTTTTTGTTTATTTATAGTGTAAAAAAAATTTAATCAAATTTAAATTATTTTATTATGAATTTTTTCCTACACTATAAAAATCATTACTATAACGATTTTTTTTCTATCTATATAACACACTCTTCATTAATATTCCTCTTATTGACTGAGTGTTTAAAACTATATATTTCTTCGTAGTACGAAGATGCTGAAATAAGCCTGAATGAACAAAGGTACGGGTTTTCTTTTAAAATATTTGATAACTACCAAGTAAAATATATCAAAAATAGGAAAAATTAACGTAATTCTTCCTTTACGAAAATATAAGGTTATTTCAATTAATCCCTGTGGCCGTTGTAGCCTAATGGTCGAGGTAACGGACTTGTGGCTGGCGTGTCATGAGTTTGAGTTTAGTGCCGCTACCTTTACTGAACGTGAGGAATTCGATTTCGTCTTTAAAAATGTATAAAAATTTTAAGTAATGAAAATACTTTAGTTTTATTTTGATTTTTCAAAGAGACGGTAAATTAGCTTTATTACTATTATTATTATTAATTTGGTTTAAGTTTTACTCTAGGTCAATGGTTATTAAACTGGGATCCACAGAGCCCCCCCAGGGGTCCTCAGCCCTTTTTTAGGGGGTCCAAGAAGGTCTCTCATTTATTGCTATTTTCCTCTTTTAGGGTCTCTTAAAGGCCTCGTGGAAAAATTGAAAGATGTGCCATTCT